CTCCTTGTGTTGCCCAGGCTGGAGGGCAGTGGCTATTCACAGGTTTGATCCCACTACTGATCAGCACCTGAGTTTTGACCTCCTCCATTTCTAACCTGGGCCAGTTCACCCCTCCTTAGGTGGTCCCCTCCTCCCGGGAAGTCACCATATTGATGCCAAACTCAGTGCGGACACCCGATTGGCATAGTGCGCTACAGCGCAGAACTCCTGGGCTCAAGCGATCCTCCCGCCTCAGCCTCCCAAGTAGTTGGGGCTACAGGCGAGCACCATGCGCCCGGACCTGCCTACTCGCTGACCGAAGGAGGAAATGGGCATCTTCCCTCGGACTTGAGTGGCTAATGGGAGGGACTCAGCACTGTGTGAGGAGCGACACCAGCCAGATGGGAAGGCAGCTAAGTCGAGAGCTAGAGTCATGGGGCAGTTTGATCAGTGGTCTCTCCCTATGATCTCACTGTTAAATTCTCACTACTGGGTTGAAAGTGACTCTCAGGGCCACTGTCTATAAGGTTGAAAGCCCCTTGCTGCCTTACTGCACGGCCGCCTTAGGGCATGCTGGGCTAACTTCTCACTTTAGGCCCATTTCTAAGTCTCATCTGGTACTTTTTGGGGGATGTGTGTAAATGACCTAAGGGAAGAAAACACAGTTTCTATGAGCATCAAGAAAACAGACGCTTCTCCTTCCTGAGTTTGGTCACGGCTTCGGGAGCAAACCCTCACGTGGCAAGAAATAAGTAAATGTAACCTAACTTTTAAATTTTGTTAGTAAAGGCCAGACATGGTAGCTCACACCTGTAATCCCAGCACTTTGGGAGGACAAGGCAGGCAGATCACGAGGTCAGGAAATTGAGACCATCCAGGCCAACATGGTGAAACCCTGTCTCTGCTAAAAATACGAAAAGTAGCTCGGTGTGGGGGCAGGTGCCTGTAGTCTCAGCTGTTCGGGAGGCAGAGGCAGGAGAATTTTTTTTTTTTTTTTTTTTTTTTTTTTTTTTTTTTTTTTTGAGACGGAGTTTCGTTCTTGTTACCCAGGCTGGAGTGCAATGGTGCAATCTCGGCTCACCGCAACCTCCGCCTCCTGGGCTCAGGCAATTCTCCTGCCTCAGCCTCCTAAGTAGCTGGGATTACAGGCACGCGCCACCACGCCCAGCTAGTTTTTTGTATTTTTAGTAGAGACGGGGTTTCACCATGTTGACCAGGATGGTCTCGATCTCTCGATCTTGTGATCCACCCGCCTCAGCCTCCCAAAGTGCTGGGATTACAGGCTTGAGTCACCGTGCCTGGCAATTTTTTTTTTTTTAAGTAAAATCTCAGTGTTCCATAGAGATCCCAGATAGGATGATTACTGCCAATTCAGAAAGGGTCACTATATCCCACTCAGGTAACCTCAAGGATCACTGTTCAGCCAGGTGAGTCAGCACCAGGGCCTTGCCAGGATGCAGCAGTGGCTGGAGGACTCAGCTCGAAAATAACATCCTAAAACCTTGTGGTCAGTAAGGGACATGTGAGGCCCTTTGAGGAAGAGAGAAGGTCCCTGCTGTGCCCCAGCCAGCTTTTCACTAGGATAATTGCCATTTCTTCCCAATGCCTGCCAGCAGTGTTGCACTGTGGCAGTGCTGAGACTGTGGCTCCGATGCATGCTGGGGGAGTGGTGGGCCAGGCCAGGTGAGAGCAACGTCCCCCAGCTTGACTTCTGGCCAGGGGTGGAGAGACCTACTCAGTGGGGTGTTGCAAAGGGAAGCCTTTACTCTCATGGATCCTCCAGGGAGAAACCACCCTGTGCGGACCCACGGGATCAGCTTACAAGTCAGCAGAGAAAAATTCCCCATCTGGCATTGTGTGGGCCAGAGACTCTCCTTACCATAACGTAGAGACTGCTGCTCCTGCATAAATATGATGCCTCATGGGAAGTTTTCTGCTGTTGCTCTTCTAAGGCGGAACTTGAAATTCCTAACTTATCCTTTGTTGGTAACCATCCTAGGGGTGGCAGGGGCAGATCAGGAGGGGACATTTGCTTGATGGCCAGGTTTGCGGCTCACTGTATTCAGGGCACAGCACCCTGCCCCCACCCGGCTCAGCTCATTTTCCTTCTGCAAAGCCCCAGGGCTCCTGTTAGTCTTTATGGATGTATTTACTGGACACAGTCTCCCTGTCACTCAGGCTGGACTGCAATGGTGAAATCACAGCTCACTGCAGCCTCCACCTCCCAGGCTCAAGGGGTTCCTCCTGCCTTAGCCTCCAAAGTAGCTGGGACTACAGGCATACACCATCACACCCAGCTAACTTTTTAAAAGTTTTGGCCGGGCGAGGTGGCTCACGCATGTAATCCCAGCACTTTGGGAGGCTGAGGCAGGCGGATCATGAGGTCAGGAGATTAAGACCATCCTGGCCAATATAATGAAATCCTGACTCTACTAAAAATACAAAAAAATTAGCTGAGCGTGGTGGTACACACCTGTAGTCCCAGCTACTCAGGAGGCTGAGGCAGGAGAATCAGTTGAACCCGGGAGGCAGAGATTGCAGTGAGCCAAGATCATGGCACTGCACTACAACCTGAGTGACAGAGCGAGTCTCTGTCTCAAAAAAAAAAAAAAAAAGTTTTGTAGACATAGGGTCTCATGTTGCTAAGTCTGGTCTCAATCTCTTGGGTTCAAGCCATCTGCCTGCCTTGGCCGCCCAGAGTACTGGAACTACAGGCATGAGCCACCGTGCCCAGCCCACTCCTGTTACTTTTGGTTGTGTGTTTTAGCTTGGGGAACCAAAGAAAGATGTGAAAGTTGTCCACTACTTTTTTTTTTTGAGATGGAGTTTTGCTTTGGTTGCCCAGGCTGCAGTGCAATGGTACAATCTCGACTCAACGCAACCTCTGCCTCCCAGGTTCAAGCAATTCTCCTGCCTCAGCCTCCTGAATAGCTGAGACTGCAAGTGCACACCACCACTTGCAGCTGATTTTTGTTTTTGTTTTTTTTTTTTTTTGAGACGGAGTTTCGCTCTTGTTACCCAGGCTGGAGTGCAACGGCGCGATCTCGGCTCACCGCAACCTCCGCCTCCTGGGTTCGGCCAATTCTCCTGCCTCAGCTTCCTGAGTAGCTGGGATTACAGGCACGCACCACCATGCCCAGCTAATTTTTTGTATTTTTAGTAGAGACGGGGTTTCACCATGTTGACCAGGATGGTCTCGATCTCTTGACCTCGTGATCCACCCGCCTCGGCCTCCCAAAGTGCTGGGATTACAGGCTTGAGCCACTGTGCCCAGCCTGATTTTTGTATTTTTAGTAGAGACAGGGTTTCACCGTGTTGGCCAGGATGGTCTCGATCTCTTGACCTCATGATCCACCCACCTAGGCCTCCCAAAGTGTTGGGATTACAGGCGTGAGCCACCACTTCTGGCCAAAAGGTGCCCACTATTGATGATAAAAACTTTAGTCAAATTTCCTGATCATCAAACTCATTTCTGCTCATAGATTAAAAGAGCAGCTGGAGCAGACACGGTAGTTCACGCTTGTCATCCCAGCACTTTGGGAGACCGAGGTGGGCGGATTGCTTGAGCCCAGTAGTTCAAGACCAGCCTGGGCAACATGATGAATATAGAAATTCGGCAACATACCGAATATAGAAAAAATCAGCTGGGCGTGGTTGTTCATGCCTTTAGTCCCGTCTACACAGGAAGCTGAGTTGGGAGGATCTCTTGAGCCCGGGAATCTGAGGTTATAGTGAGTTAGGAGTGTATAATTGCACTTCAGCCTGTGAGAAAAATAATGACTGTGGAATTTCTTTTTTGGGATGGGATCTCACTATGTTGTCCAGGACGGTCTAGAACTCCTGGGTGACCAGGGAACTTTAAATGTCCCAAGTCTCACCTCAGGCCTGCATCAGAATCTCCAGCCCTGGGGCCCAGGAATCTGCATTTCATGCTGCCTGGGTGGTACCGGCGGCAGCCAGGCTTGGGGCCCGCAGCATTATTGCCATTTATGCCTCAGCTGCGTGTTCTCGCCCAGTTTCTCAGATCTGGCACAGCTATGGCTGAAGGGGCTTGGGGATGAGCCCCAAGTCGTGCGCCCCTCGGGTCACCACCCAGCCTCCCGGAGGGACCCGGCCTGAAGACACAGCCAGCCCCAAATGGGGTGCGGACTATCACTGGCCAACCGTGTGTGTTTGCTTTTCGCGGACATCCTGGAGACACACTGCAGACACAGTCCCTGCTGGGCAGAGGCATTTATTAAAAGGGCTTCGTACCTGCAGGCGGATGCAGGGAGTCGCCCTCACACCAGCCACCCTGTGGCAACCCCCGGAGGTCACCTTGCCCGGGGCTCGGGGAGGCCACTGCGGGCTTTGTCTGCTCAGCTCATCCAGCCCGGCGCGCGCGTGGCGGGGCCGGTGGCGCGCGCTCTTCCTGGCTGCCTCCCGCGTTCCCAGAGGCAAAACCCCAGGCCCCCGCGGTCACCGGTGTCCCCGGCTGGACGCCGGCCCGAGCTTGCGTGGGACCCGGACGTCTGGGTCTGCGGGGAGCGCCGGGGGTGTCTCTGCGTGTCCGACAGCACAGGGCTTGGCCCATGTCTGCAGCCCCCCACCCCTCACCCAGGTCCTGCCTAGCGCCCCGGCCTCGGCCCTGCACCCCCGCGCCCCCCGCGTCCCCCGCGCCCCCAGCTCTGCTGCACCTGCCCGCGCCCCGACACCCTACAGCTGCCCCGCACCCCCCCATCCTCCGAGCCCCTCCCGAGCCCCTGCCCTTCCCCCTCCGAGCCCCTCCCCACTGGGTCCCTTCCCGGCGCCCCTCCCCCTCCGGAGCCCTCCCCCGCCCCTCCTCCCCCACCGGCCCCTCCCACTCCCCTCCACCGCCGGCCCCGCCCCTCCCCTCCCCCGCCGGCCCCGCCCCGGCCGCCCCCGGCCCCTCCTCCCCGCCCCGCCCCCGGCGTCCCCCACGCCCCGCCCCCCCACCTGCGGCGCTAGCGCGGGGCGGGGCGGCCCGGCGGACCCTGCGCGGCGTTAGGCGTTAGGCGTTAGGCGCGGCTGCACGGACGCGGGCCGGGCGCGCGGGCGGCGATGACGGCCCGGCCATGGCCCGGGCCAGCAGCTGCGGCGGCGACGCGGGGGGCTCGGGGCGGACGGAGCCGTGGGAGCTGTCCCTGGAGGAGGTGCTGAAGGCCTACGAGCAGCCGCTCAACGAGGAGCAGGCGTGGGCCGTGTGCTTCCAGGGCTGCCGCGGACTGCGGGGCGCGCCGGGCCGGCGCCTGCGGGACACCGGGGACCTCCTGCTGCGCGGGGACGGCTCTGTCGGGGCGCGGGAGCCCGAAGCCGCGGGTGAGGCCGGGGGCGGGGACTGAGGTCTGGGGTGTCCGTCCCGCTCCGGGGGGTGTCCCGGCAGGGGCGCTGCGACCGTTTGTGGAGCGGGGACCCCCCCCTTTCCTCCCTCCCTCCCGGAAGCCCCCCACGTGGACGTCTCTCCCCGCGCAGGGCGGGCTCCCGGTGGCGGCGCTTCCTCCGGGACGGCCCTGGAGCTGGGCCCGGCGTCTGGGGAGCCGGGAGCTCGGCCACTGCCGAGGCGAGTCCTCCCGCCAGGGGCCGTCTCCTCCCGCCTGCAGCAGGAAAGGAGACAGAAGCGTCCCCTCGGGCACTGTCCCCCGTGGGAGGTGGGGCTGCGCCTCTCACGTGGCGTCTGAACTGACATCACATTCCTGAGTTTAACTGGGAAAGCACGGGGGTTGTAAAATTGTAGGGGGGTGTAAAATTGCGGTGGGGGGTGTAGAATCGTGGATGTATGTGTAAAATTGGGGGTGTAAAATTGGGGGGTGTTAATTGGGGGGGTGTAAAATTGCGGGGATGTGTGTAAAATTGCGGGGGTGTGTAAATTTTCTGGGGTGGTATAAAATTGTGGGGGTGTGTTAAATTGCGGGGCGGGTGTAAAATTGCCGCGACAGCCTGCTTGCTGTTTCTGTTCTTAACCATCAACCAGAACCAACAATTAAGCCCTAGAAAGATATTTGAAGTTAGTAAGATGGTGAGCTTAAGTGCTTATTTTACCCTTTACCAAAAAAAAAAAAAAAAAAAAAAGTTCTTTCTTCCCTGGAGAGCTGGAGTGCTGGCTTGGAGCACAAGATATCACCCCAAATGCTGGTACCCTGCTGGTGGGCAGAGCGGGACTCTTTCTAGGCCTGACAGCTGTGGGTTTGCATGAGTGGCCTTTGTGGAGGACCAGGAAGGGCCAGGGCAAGGCCAGACAGAAGCCACTGACACAGCCCCGGAGGGTGGGGGCCACTGTGCCCACCCAAGGGCCTTCCCTGTTCCTTTGCCAGGTTCTGCTCATCCCAGACTCGGCTGCAGCTGCCTCCACACTCCCGCCATTTGCTATATCCCACACAGGTGACAGCAAGATCAGGCCTTGATGGTGTTCCTCCCGCTGTGGAAATGAGCAGCTTAGGCTCGCACAGGCACCCAGACAGTAGCAGTGTTTAGGTTCAGTGCGGCGCCCCTCAGGGTTGTGCCCGGCAGGCGAGAGGCTGCATGCTCACAGAGCCTCTGAGAGTTGGTGCTTGGGCTCCACCCCATCCCTGGAGGTCAGTGCAGAGCAGGAGAGAGCCATAGGCAGCCTAGTCCGTCTGACCCTCTGACTGTAAAGATGGGGAAATTGAGGCACAGAGTGGTTAGTTTGCCGCTAGTTAGAACTGAGGGCTCCTGGTTTGACCCTGAACCGTGTGGGAGCCCAGCTGCCTGCTTCCTCTCGGTGCTATGCAAGGTGTCTTCACAGCAGTGATCTGATTCTCCCCATTGCCATCTTCTGGGGGATGTGGCCCCTTCCTGGTCCTCACAGTCCTGGAGGACTGTGAGGCAGCAGTTCCTGGCTGTGGTTCAAAGTGCAGGCAGAGCCCTGTGTTGACCTTAGTGGGTGGCACCCGTCTCTGGTCCAATTCATTTTTTATTTGATATGATCTTTGGTTTCTGTTCATAACCTTGTCTCATAAAGGTGAATGAGGTTTATGACTTGCTGTCTCTTTAGGGTTTAAGAAAAATCTATTATTACCCTGAACTTCCTCTGCCATCCTGGTGCTTCTGTGAGTCAGCTGAGACTTTAGGCCAGCTGTCTCCTCAAAGGTGGCCAATCCAGCCTTTCTCTGGGACTTAAGATAAGTAGATACACTAAAAGGTGCACAGTTATTTCTCCCTGTAAATATAATAGGAAAAACTCTACATCTCACTTGCCAGCACTTTAGTCTCAGTTTTTTACGCCAGTTGAATCTCTCCACCTGTAACCTCGGACCTTCAGTACCCGTCCTCTCACACAAACTGAATCTGGGCAATTGACGTGTAAAACAACTTTGAAAAAAACCAACAACAGGGGTCAGGCGCAGTGGCTCACGCCTGTAATCCTAGCACTTTTGTAGGTCGGGGCAGGCGGATCATGAGGTCAGGAGTTAAAAGACCATCCTGGGCCGGGCGCGGTGGCTCAAGCCTGTAATCCCAGCACTTTGGGAGGCCGAGGCGGGTGGATCACGAGGTCAAGAGATCGAGACCATCCTGGTCAACATGGTGAAACCCCGTCTCTACTAAAAAAAAAAAAAAATACTAAAAATTAGCTGGGCATGGTGGTGTGTGCCTGTAATCCCAGCTATACTCAGGAGGCTGAGGTAGGAGAATTGCTTGAACCCAGGAGGCAGAGGTTGCGGTGAGCCGAGATCGCGCCATTGCACTCCAGCCTGGGTAACAAGAGCGAAACTCTGTCTCAAAAAAAAAAAAGACCATCCTGGCTAACATGGTGAAACCCAATCTCTACTAAAAATATAAAAAAAATTGGCCGGGCGCGGTGGCTCAAGCCTGTAATCCCAGCACTTTGGGAGGCCGAGGCGGGTGGATCACGAGGTCGAGAGATCGAGACCAACCATGGTCAACATGGTGAAACCCCGTCTCTACTAAAAATACAGAAAATTAGCTGGGCATGGTGGTGCGTGCCTATAATCCCAGCTACTCAGGAGGCTGAGGCAGGAGAATTGCCTGAACCCAGGAGGCGGAGGTTGCGGTGAGCCGAGATCGTGCCATTGCACTCCAGCCTGGGTAACAAGAGCGAAACTCCGTCTCAAAAAAAAAAAAAAAAAAAAAAAAAATTAGCTGGGGCCGGGCGCGGTGGCTCAAGCCTGTAATCCCAGCACTTTGGGAGGCCGAGGCGGGTGGATCACGAGGTCAAGAGATCGAGACCATCCTGGTCAACATGGTGAAACCCCGTCTCTACTAAAAATACAAAAAATTAGCTGGGCATGGTGGCACGTGCCTGTAATCCCAGCTACTCAGGAGGCTGAGGCAGGATAATTGCCTGAACCCAGGAGGCGGAGGTTGCGGTGAGCCGAGATCGAGCCATTGCACTCCAGCCTGGGTAACAAGAGCGAAACTCCGTCTAAAAAAAAAAAAAAAAAAAAAAAAAAAAAAAAAAAAAAAATTAGCTGGGCGTGGTGGTGCATGTCTGTAATCCCAGCTGCCTGGGAGGCTGGGGCAGGAGAATTGCTTGAGGCAGAGATTGCAGTGGGCCGAGATTGTGCCATTGCACTATAGCCTGGACAACAGTGCGAGAGGACTCCTCAAAACAAAAAACAAAAAACAAAAAAAAACAACAACAAAAAACTAAACCTTATTTAGAAGGATGAATAATATCATCTCAGCACACAAGTTGTAATACTTCTCATTTCCAAGCTAACATTAGAATAAATGACTAGAACAAATTTGCTAATCTTTTTCTTTTTTTTTTTTTTTTTTTTTTTTTTGAGACGGAGTTTTCGCTCTTGTTACCCAGGCTGGAGTGCAATGGCGCGATCTCGGCTCACCGCAACCTCCGCCTCCTGGGTTCAGGCAATTCTGCTGCCTCAGCCTCCTGAGTAGCTGAGATTACAGGCACGTGCCACCATGCCCAGCTAATTTTTTGTATTTTTAGTAGAGACGGGGTTTCACCATGTTGACCAGGATGGTCTCGATCTCTTGACCTTGTGATCCACCCGCCTCGGCCTCCCAAAGTGCTGGGATTACAGGCTTGAGCCACCGCGCCCGGCCAAATTTGCTAATCTTTACACTGAAGACCTCATGACTGCTTGGAAGCTTTTTTTATTTTTTATTTTTTTTATTTTTTTGAGATGGAGTTTCACACTGTTGCCTGGACTGGAGTGCAGTGGCACAACCTCCACCTCCTGGGTTCAAGTGATTCTCCTGCCTCAGCCTCCCAAGTACCTAGGACTACAGGTGCACGCCACCACACCTGGCTGATTTTTGTATTTTTAATAGAGATGAGGTTTCACCATGTTGGCCAGGATGATCTCGATCTTTGGACCTTGTGATCCGCCTGCTCCAGCCTCCCAAAGTGCTGGGATTACAGGCATGAGCCACTGTGCCTGGCATAATTTTTGCTTTTTTTTTTTTTTTTGAGACGGAGTTTCGCTCTTGTTACCCAGGCTGGAGTGCAATGGCGCGATCTCGGCTCACTGCAACCTCCACCTCCTGGGTTCAGGCAATTCTCCTGCCTCAGCCTCCTGAGTAGCTGGGATTACAGGCACACGCCACCATGCCCAGCTAAGCTAATTTTTTGTATTTTTAGTAGAGACGGGGTTTCACCATGTTGACCAGGATGGTCTCGATCTCTTGACCTCGTGATCCACCCGCTTCGGCCTCCCAAAGTGCTGGGATTAGAGGCTTGAGCCACCACGCCTGGCCTAATTTTTGTATTTTTAATAGAGACCAGGTTTTGCCATTATGTTGGCCAGGCTGATCTCAAAACTTCTGACCTTGTGATCCGCCCACCTTGGCTTTCCAAAGTGCTGGGATTACAGGCACCTGGCCCCATGTGAAGTTATTTTAAGAGGTCATTATTAAAACCTCATGATGGAGGTTTTAATAAAACTTTGTAAAAATCTAGGCAGGAAACTCTGTCAGGCATCACTGCTGTGTGGGGAGCTGTTCCCAGAGTCAAGACCGATGTCCCTTTCTATTTTTATTAGTTTGTTTTTTTTCTTTTCCAGCAGTCCAGAGGAAAAAGATCTCTTGTTTGTTGAGACAGAGTCTCCCTCTGTTGCCAAGCTGGAGTGCATTGGTGACATGTCTGCTCACGGCAACTTGTGCCTTGTGGGTTCAAGCGATTCTCCTGCGTCAGCTTCCCCAGTAGCTGGGACTACAGGCGTGTGCCACCACACCTGGGTAATTTTTGTATTTTTAGTAGAGATGGGGTTTCACCATGTTGGCCAGGCTGGTCCTGAACTCCTGACCTCAGGTGATCCTCCTGCCTCAGCCTCCCAAAATGTTGGGATTACAGGCGTGAGCCACCGTACCACTGT